TATGCACAGTACCGGACTCAGCTGGTCCAAAAAGCCGTGTAGTTGTGAAAAATCCGCAGTCGCAATTTCCCCTAGCTACTGCGTTCAAAAACACAATATTTTGGGATTTTGGTGCTGCCCTATGGCACCCTTCCCTATTCTTACTGTTGTTGACAAAACAATCATCCCAACCCCTCCGTGTTTACCGCTGTTATTGTTGCGGTTACACTCGGTATCACGGAAGAGCTGTGCCTCGTAAACCAGGTTGTTAGTTTGTGTGAGACGGCGAGACCTGTGTGCTATTTTCGTGTTCCCCCGCCGCCATCGTCGCTGTTGCTGCCGCCGCTCATCCCCAGTGTCGCGCCAATGTTCACGAAGCGACTCCGCGTAAGCTGTAAACCAAGCCGAGGAACTAGCAAAACATATGCGTGACATTGTCGATAATACGAGGTTTTTCTGCAGTGTTGCTTTGTTGTCAGCACTATTGTCTGGCAATTTTCTTGCTGTATGTGTGAGCTGCCATGATTGCTAATCTTGCTCGAGTCAGAAAAACCATCGTTGCATCGAATGGGTTGGTTTTTAGGAACTTGCTTCCACTGCTACAGCACTCCTTTTTCTTCATAATTAGACTGGGTATTAATCAAAAGTAGTGCGCAAATCATGTTTGAAAACTAATATTAATTAGCATCATAGACGTTACAATTGCTATAACAGGGCTGTACATTAGTCAGCTGCTACAGCAGTTTGGAGATAAGGAAATGTCAGGAACGGCCATAGGGTGTGCCTTTTTTTCATAGGCTTCTTCCTCAGCGTAAGATAGCGCGTTGACTATATAATGTTAATCAGATTATGTACGCCTTTTAATCAGAACTGTAGACGTTTATGAGCACTATTAAGTAAAACCTCCGTCTGAGAGGCAAATTGTTTGTTGAAATCTGAGAGATTTGAGTAGCATTAGAGTTATTTCAACGTTTTCTTATAGGTCTTCATCGCAACATGCGTCTCACTTGCGTCCGTCAGCGGGTATGGGATCATCTAGTCGATCCGGAGGACGGCGACCACCCGACGATCCTCATGTTGGGAAGTATAAACTGCTCAAAACTATTGGCAAAGGAAATTTCGCCAAGGTGAGTCATTGTTTGAATTTTTATTCTTCGTCTTTTTATATCATTCGGTTTTTCATTTACTCGCAAATTTTTAGGTAAAACTAGCCAAACATACAATTACGGGTCAAGAAGTTGCTATCAAAATTATCGACAAAACAGCGTTGAATCCTAGCAGCTTACAAAAAGTGAGTCATCTTTTCTCTTTTTTCTTTACTAAATTTGAGACTATCAAAGTGAAGAGCTACATTTTTTTATCATTTGAGAAATAGTGAGCAGAAATTGCTGGCAATTACAGTCTAATCCTTCTTGCGCTCTAGTGATATGCCAAGCACAGGCTTATGTGAAATCGATGGGCTGTGAAAGCTGGCTGTTTGACTAATGATCTTTATTTTGTTGACACACATGCTTGCATGAGGGAATTCGATGCTTCGCTGAGCTTCCGCCTTCCTTTTCTGATAAAGCTAGGCTTGGGATGATACTTCCTCATGGTTGGCCAACTGGACTGATTGATTGTAGTCCAGCGGACTTATTCATCATTGTGAACATCAAATAGGTTATTGATTGCAGAAGTACTCATGCGTGACTGCATTTGCAGTTTATGTTAGGATACAATGTCTCAAATGCTTTCAAGGACATGAATTTGGAAACTTGCTTATTGATTTGCAGAAAAAACCTTGTCCCTCGCGCGCTCTGTAATTGAATTGCATTGACGAACACTTCGACAGCGACTTGTTCGTTAGAT